AAGACACGTGGAGGGACTGCCAGGGCCCCTCCCTGGGTGACAGGACAGTGGGCACCAGTTGTAAAGCAGGAGCAGACGGAATGCTTGTGTCCCCACAAACCCAGAGGGTGAATGACGCTCTCACCCCAATAGTACCGGGCGGTGGTGACTGCGTGCAGATGAGGTCATGAGGGTGGGCTCCCCCGACGAGATTAGTGCCCTCTTAAGAAGAGACCACGTGAACACAGCAAGAAAGTGGCCGTCTGCGTGCTGGGAAATGAGCTCTCAGGAGGAACCCCATCAGCCGGCACCTTGACCTTGGGCATCTGTCCTCCAGAACTGTGAGACACAAATGTCTGTTGCTTCAGGCAGTGGTCCTGGCATAATGTGTTATGGCAGCCCAAGCTGACTGACTAATGCAACACCCTTCCCAAATCTGGGTGGATCAAAAAAATAAGGATATCCCCTAGCTGGTGGAAGCCTCGCTGGTTTGTCCACATTCAGCCTAGATCTGGACAGTGGGAGACGTCCTGATCCTCAGCAGTGGCGGCCATCCCAGCCTCATTTTCTACACCTATAAAAGGCAGCTAATTAATATCCGCCTCGAGGTGTTGCTGACAATTACATGAACTAATGTGAGTCCTGCATGACGGTCTTCAGTGCGGGAAGGCTGTTATTATTAACACTAGAGGGCAAAGGAGGGCGGGGGTGGAGGCACGGCAGGGAGCAGGGGTTGGGGCGGACGCCGGCGCTTGGCGGCTGTCACCCCTCAGGCGTGACTGGACAGGCTCCCCTGGGTTACTGCAAGAGAAAATGAAAGCAAACACAGACAGGAAAGGTTCCCGACCCAGGGGCCATCGTGAAGCAGGTGGAGAAAGGGCGGTGTTTGGCTCGGACCCTCTCTCAATGGGCCGACATCAGAGCTGCCCAGCTGACCTGCTACGAAAGGCTTCCGGGTGCTGGAGGATGGAGGAGCAAACTTGTGGATGAGCAGGGGGGGGAGACCTGGGGGGTCACTGATGACTGGCCTCTCCCTCGCAGACCCTTTTCCTCTGTGTGCCATGGTGTGAATAAAGTCTGGGGACACTGGTGTGAGAGACGCTGCCCAGGCGAGGGAGGCCGGTGTGACTGGGACCAAGGATCCTCTGACTGGCAGGGTCCAGAATCTTCCTACACCTTCTCTGGCCAGTGCTCAGATCAGAGCTGGCACAGAGCAGGCACAGGGGCCACCCCTGGCATCGAGGCTGCCATGTGTGGGCTCTGACAGAGCTGTGGGTGTGCTGGGGACAGCAACAACTACGGGGGACTGCGGGGAAGGGAGGGGCAGGGTGCTACTGAGGCCGAACTTTGCCGGGACTGTTTATTCTGCAGCCAGAGCCCTCCTGCTGGCAGCACAGGGACTGGGTGCCTCTTGCAGCCTGGCCACCTGCAGCCCCAGCGAACGCTCTGCAGCTGACCGCGGGCATGGGGGCTCTGACATGATGACAGGAGCTGCTGTCACCTGAGCCCGGAGTCTCCTCTTCCCCTCCTCATTTTCACAAGTCTTCTGTCCCTAGCAGACAGCTCTTGCTCCAGAACGCTAGTTCACATTCTATAGCTTGTCTAATTCCAACATGCCTTAGAGCCTGCACAAATGTTGGCGATTCCTTTGAAAAGTCTGCAAAGAAATATTACTCCTTTTCTATGTCCACAGCCTTGGGCTGAGTGTCACCAAAGGTACAGAGAAGAGTAAGTGGGGGCGCTGGGGAGGGGGGAGCAGATGGTTCCGCGTGATTGGGACAGGCCGGTCCAGAACACGGTGGAAGAAGAGAGAGAAGGAGAAACCTAAACAGAGACAGAGACAGAAGGGGACAGAAAGAGGAGGAGAAAAGGGAAGAGGAGACAAGAGAAGAGAGAGCGTGCACTGTGCAATTATTTGCGTATCACTTGCATCTTCTCACTTCTAAATGCCTTCATGCCTGGGTGATCAAGGACTTGGTTCTGTTTTTAATGGCAACCCAGAAGCTGTTTGGGAAAGGGCAGGGCGATGCGATGGGAAGAGCTCTCTAGTCAGATGAAGGCTCAGATCCGGCACTACAGCCTGCTACGTGGGGACCTCCCGGCAAGTGCCTTACCCTGTCGGAGCCTGTCTCCTGTGTGCGGATGGGTGAAGACAGCGCCCCCTCAGGGCCACTGCCATCACGCCACATGGCAACACGCACAAGGCTGTGTCTGGGCACTTGTCCAACGGAAGGGCAGAAGGGAAGACTGGGCTTTGGGTGACGGGAGGTGGCAGAAAGGAGGCTGGGGTGATGTCAGACCTGGTGGGGCTCCGGGCAGCACCCAGCTGCCCTTCTGCAGGTGGCCCTAGCAAAATTTGTGGCCACTCTGGGTACATGGGTTGCTGGGCTCTCCTGGCCCGGCAACATCATCTAGAAAAAACAGCCAGGAAACGGAATCTCCGGTGTGTGAGTGGCCAGCGAACCCATCAGAGTCCTGCCATCACAGCCGGCGCTTTGTTAACTGCTTGCTGCAGTATTTCTTCAGTTCCTGCCCGAAGGTTTGATCTTCTCTCCTTTGCCCATGTAATGCTTTGGGGCGCTTTGTTAGAGAACAGGCAGAAATAATGCATTTTACACACAGAGCCAATATTGAGGTGACTGGGCCTCTCCATGCTCCCAGGGAGTGGCCTGGGGTTAATGTGTTGTCTGCGTCTCAGCCCAGACACTTGCTGGCAGCTGGTGGCATCATAGATGTCAGGTGGCTGTCAGACTCCGCGATTTGCTTTTGCGAGACGGGCTGGCAGTTTCCACACAGGCTGAAGGACCGTCATGATGATTCTAGCCGTGACAAGGAATCCTGACCCAGCCTTCCCAGATCCGGGTGGGTCCCAGGGTGTTCTAGCCCTGGGAGGTGGCCCTCCAACCCCTGACATCTGGGGGACGGCAGAGGCACGGTTGAAGTTCCCCTAGATGGCAACTTCCCACCCTCCCTCTGTCAGGGAAGCCAGCTGCCCAGAGCCTGGGGCTTTCTTGATGAACACATCAATCCTAATTAGGATGAGGAATTAATAAAGAAGGCATTTGAGCCACTCTGCAGAGGCCAGGCTTGCTGGCGTGGAGGTGTTCCAACTCCCACAGGGAAACTGGAAGGCCGGGGGTCCATGTGTGCGTTTAGGTGGTGACAGTGGCATGACTGATGGTGCCACATGGACAGCGACCAGTGGGGCCTGTGAGGCCGGCGCTGCAGCCCCTGCTCTGTGCCCAACTCAGGTGCCACGGAAGGCAGTGACGTGGGTACATTCTCCCAACGAGAGGAGTGGGTGTTTGCCATCTGAGCGACTGCTCACCAAAAATGATGTTTTTCAAAAGAAAAGAGAAGGGTGTGATTGTCGGCCCACTGATTCTTTGTGCGGCTGTGTTTCCCAAACTATGGGCTGCACATCGCTGCTCCCCAATCTTCCCACACCTGGGTGAAGACTCCACTCACCCCTGGCATTGAACTCCAGATTGCAAAGGGTAAAGCAACCTAGTAGGGGAGATCATGTGGGGGGCAGAGGTGGGCAGGGTTCCAGATGAGACGAGGCATGGTCTCGGAGGACAGAAAGGGGACAAGTTGGACCTCACCAAGTCTCCCCAGCTTTACAAAGCCCCTCTATAGTGACTCCGAAGGCGGCCAGAAAAGGGCCACGGTTTTGAGAGCTCCCTGCTCACCTCCACCAAGATCCAACCACGCTGAACTATCTGCAGGGGCTGTAACCGAGGTAAGGGAGGCTGGCTGTGTGGGAGAACCTCCCGAAAAGCTGAGGGGTGGAGCTAACTCTCGGGAAAAGGTTACAGAAAAACAGAGACGAAACTCTATCCAAGGATTTTTGAAAGGAACGCTCTGCCGACTTTCCCCATCTCCATTTTAAAGCCAAGACCAAGCGGCAGACCGTGCACAACCTGACTGGAACCAGATGGCCCCTCCACAGCCACCTGTTACTGCAAGTTCCGCAGCTGGGCGGGCAGGCACCCGGGAGGCGCTGGAGTCGGGTGCACTTCGCCACTGGAGTCGTCCGGGCCCCTCCCGCGGAGGAAGCGGTCGCCAGTCCCGGGGCACCCAATTCCGGCCCCTAGAGGCATCGCGACCTTACAACACCCACTATTTGGCCTCTTAGTGCAACCGGGGTCCAGGCGCTCCGCCTCTCCCGCCCCGACGGGTGGCCACGCCCCTCCCAGGCCTTTCCTGGTCCGCGGGTCGCCCCTGCGCACCCCAGTTCTCTACCGAGCTCTCCCGCGGCCTCCTTGCCCGGGGACCACCACGGAGAACTCCCTGCCCCAGTCAGGGGAGACCGGGCGTCGCTCCCCTTCCCTCTTCACCGAGCACACAGGAGCGGACAAGTAACCCCGGCGAACAGAAGGGGATGAAGAAGGGTCTCGGCGGCATCACGTTTGGGCGACCCGGCTCCCCCAGGCCCGCTGGGGGTCCGGCCCCCACCCGCACCCCGCGGCCCAGGCCTGGAGCTACAGCGGAGCGGTCCCCACGCTCCCCGCCCCCGGCCGGCCCCGCCCCAGGATGGCCAGTTCCCATAGCAATCGCAGAGACACCGGTTGCCAAGCAACCCCTCCCCCTCCTCCCTCCCCTCCTCTCCGGTCCCCTCCCCCCAACCCCAGCCTCCTCCCGCCCCCTCGCTAGCCTCCACCTCCCCCGGGGGCACCGGCGCGGTCCCTCGGGATCGCTCTAGTGTCCGGCTGCGCGCGCGCGTGAGTTTTAGTGTGTTTCATTGTGTCTGTGGGCAAGGGGGTGTGCGTGTGCTAGTGGAGAGTTTGTAGGGTAGGTCTGTTGTGGGGTCCGCAGCCGGGAGCGACCCCGACCTGGTACACAGATGGCCGAGTGGGGGACCCGCCCGTTCGCTCCGGCTCCTTTGTGTCTCGCGCCCAGTGCCGCGCCCACCCTCTTCCTTGCCGGCGGCCCGGACAGGGGGTGGTGTGGTGTGGGGTGTCTGCGTGTGTGTGTGTGTGTGTGTGTGGTGGGGAAGGGGGTGCTGGGGTCCGCCGTACCTTCGATGCAGCACACCCGCCACAGCCCCGAGTGGGTGAGGTCGCCGCGGGCGCGGCGGGGCGGGGGCCCGTCGTCCATGGTCAGGTTGCTGCTGTTGCAGATGTGCGCGCTGGAGTAGAGCCAGTAGTCGGTGCCGATGGCGATGGCCATGAGCGAGAAGGCGGCGAAGGCTCCGGCCGTGGTCAGCAGCAACTGCAGCCCGCGGTCGCATCGCACCATGGTGGGCGCCTCATAGTCCGCCTCCCGCCGGCCCGGCCCGCCGCGCCCGCCCGCCCTCCTTCCTCTGCGCGCCGCTCCGGGGCGCCCGGGCTGGGGGCCGAGGGCCGGGGGGCGGCGCCGCGCTGCGCGCTCCGACCCGGCGCCCCGGGCGTGCCTGCGCTCCGGCGGCGCCGGGGCTTAAACTCCGAGGCGCGGCGGCGAGTGAGAGCTGCGCGGGCCGCCGGACCCGCAGGCGGCGGCCGGGGGCTCCTCCCTCTGGGTCCGCCCTCCCCGCTCGGCCCGCGCCTCCGCCCCGCGCCCTCCGCGCCTCCGCCCGTCGCTTGCCGTCGCCGCCGCGCTCCGGGCCCGCGCTCCGCGCCTCTCGGCACCACCCCTCGCGCCTCGGCCCCCACCCGGCTGTGCGCTCCCCTAGTCTTCCCCCAACCCCGGCCCGGATTTTCTCTCCCTCCCCACGTCTCCCCTCCCGGCTCTCGCGCGCTCTCTCTGTCTCCCAGGGTTCATTCACATTATTAGAGCGAAGGAAGCCGCGGCACTCGTTCCCTAGGAGCACGGAAGGGAAACTGCTACCAGCTACTTCGCTTACCCAACTCAGGACACTTAGCCTCCCCCTAGACGGCCCCGAGGACCCTTTAATTTGTGGTGTGTACGTGTGGTGTCCCTTCGTTCCCCGTGTATGAATCCATGCCTTTACCTGGCGATTAATGTGTAAGAGCGAGTGTGGGAATGTTCGGGTCAGATGTCTAGAAACCCCAGACGGGAGTCACAGCTGGGAGACTTTACAGGCCAAGCCAGGCCCCTGCCACTCTCCTCCCGCACCGAGGCGGCTCTCGCCTCCCGCGGCTGTCCCGGATTGGCTGTCCCGGATCCCGGATCCGCTTGCAGGGCCAGCGGGTTGAGCAGAAGGGAGGTGTCAGCCAGAGGTCCTGTGGGAAGAATACAGGATCCCTGTTTTATGGGGAGGTGGTGAGGCTGTGATTGAAGTGGGGGCGCTCCCCCATGACTACCTTTCTCATGGTATAGGACTGCGAAACCAGGGACGCCCCGATTGTGCTGGATTGAAACCTCCCAGCCCTGAGCTGTTTCCCTCTAGTCCCAGCTCGCTCTCCAATACCCTTCTTTTTGCCTTTCGCTCTACTCGAGCTTCACTGGCTTTCCCTCACCTCCTCCCCTTTATTGCCAGCCTCTGCCTCAAGCCCTGTTGGCTTCTCTTAATTGCCTTTGCTGCTGGCATGGTCTTAACCTGGATACACTCCCTTCCCTCAGAGCCAGTTCAGCCTCCTCCTCCTCCTTCAAAAGCCAGCTCCAAACTTCTCCTTCCAGGAGCCTCTGAGACCAGCACCTGGATGTCCAACGTGCCTTTACTCCCTACCTTCCCAAAGGTCATGTTCGCATCCCTGATGGGCTTCCTGTGGGTTGTGGCACTGGAACACCCCTCCCCCCCCACGCTCCTCCCCACAAGTGAAAGAAGGATGCAAGGAGCTGCTGTTCTTGCAAGATGCAGCTTAAATTTCACCTTATTTGTGGAACCTTCCTGGGACCACGTTACCGTGAGAAAGTCAATGACTCCATGTGGAATGGCTGGTCTGTCACCCACAAGATTGTGAGCCTTTCTCACATCTGACAAATACAAGAAGGAATATTGCTGAGTGAGGTGTGTTTCTCACTCCCTGGAAAATTGTAGTCTGGTTTGGGGAAATAGAGCATATAATAAAAGGGGGGAAATTCCAAGAGAATATAGTGCAAGGACCAGACTGCCCACGCTAATTAGCACTTGTTGGCCTGGTCCCCTTCTTCTGCCTTTGGGGTGTCTGTTCTGCTTCCTCAAAGTCTCAGAGGACAAGAGTTATCACCTCTGTGTTACTTCCACCCACCAGCAACCTGGCCCTGGGGGCTTCTGCACACAGCAGGTGCCCAGCGTGTGCCTGAAGACACCCAGCAGGTGCAAGAGGGCTCCCTGTGGCTCAGAACAGGGCCACACCTCTATCCCTGACGTCCACAGGGATACATCTGGGTTCCGTTCTCAGCAGCTCCCAGAATGATGGGTCTCAAGCTTTCCTTTCTTTTTCTGTTCTCTTTCTTTTTCTTTTCCTTTCCCTTCCTCTCCCTCCTCCTCCTCTGTCTTCAAGGAACAAATCTTTTTGTCATATTAAATCTTAAACAGAAACTCAACATAAACAAACTAGGTCTCCCACCAGTTAGCCTTGTAGGTAAGAGCAGGCACTGTTCTAGTTGGATGGGGGACCTGTTCCCACCCACCCACAAGACCACTTGAAGCCCCCAGAGCACCTCTGTGAATCTAGAGTTTCATGAAACCTGGTGTGAAAACCCCGCCATCTTGAGACAGACGGCTCCAGGGTCACTTGGAGATGACACCTGGGTGGTGGGGTCCTCCTCCAAGCAATAGATCCTCATGCCGACCCCACCGAGGCAGAACGGAAGTCTTCATTCATCACAGTCCCGTTGGACCAGTCCCCGCCCCTCCATTCTCAAAGGAGCATGTGGGAGAGTTGTGAGACTCTGGACCAGGAGCCCAGATAGTTGCCATGTCATGTTGGCTCCACACGAGTAGGGTGACCTCGGAGAACCAAAACCACCTGGGAGAAAGACACTCCCAGGGTCCCCACTTTTGTTGTTCTGAGGGTCCAATGAAGTAGCCTTGCACATTGCATGCACTTAGCGACCATGGCAGAATCTGTAATAAATACTCCTTTTTCTACCTTCTCTTGGAGACAGCGAGACAGACACCATCTAGCGGATGGATCTCACATTTTCTGTTAATTCTCACTATCAGCCCCCTTACCGCACCCAGATAGTCGGAGGCATAGGGAAACTGGGTGACTTGCCCAGGGCCTTACATCTGCAGGATCCCAGCTCAGGTCCCAATGCCTTCAAGGCCAGAGTTTTTCAAGGACACTAAACAGCCTCTTGGTCCTTGTCCAGGACCCCCTGACTGCATTGTTATTACCCCTAAATTTGGGGGCTGGGGCCTCCACTGGGGGCTGGGCAGCTTGCCCTTCTGTCTGTGGACCCCCAACCAGCAACCATGCTCAGTGCAGAGACTGTGGAGTCAAATAAGGGCCTGACTGCCCGCCAGGGGAGCTGGAGCGAACTCAGGACTGTCTGAGACCATTCGTCATGCCTGGGTGAGCGCAACTTAAATCTGGAAATTCTGCTCAGCTGGATCAGAGGACTCTAAATGGCAGTAGTTAACTGCCGCCCGAGGCCCCTGGAGTTTCTCCCCTGTGGCGTTTCCAGATTTGAGTGAGGGATGTGGCCTGTGCTTGCCTGGGGGGAGGCTCTGGATTGGCCTGGTTCCGGAGAGGCTGGGCACCTGGGCATCGTCCCCCAGGGAGCCGCTCGGTGTGTGTTTTACTGCTGGGGGAAGAGTCGGCGTCCTGGGTAGTGTTGCCTCCCTGGACAGCGAGAAGGTGGCGATGCTGGGACCTGTCCTCCAAAGCTGTGTTTTTCAACACAAAGTGGTTTCTTTCTCTATCATGGGATCTTTGGGGGTAATTACCACGATTCTCCACTTTACTTTGGCTGTGAAGACAGAGCTTTAATGAACTTGGAACCCTCCGACCATCCCAACTCCAGGGCGAAGCGGCCAGGCGGTCTCCGTGGGAGAGGGCTACAGCATCAGGCCGCTGGTGCTGTGTAAGGAGCATGACAGAGCGGCGAGGAGGCTGCATCTGCAGTCACAGGGAGAAGGAAGGGGGGAGGGCCCCCCATCCCCCCACCCTGACAGCTAGGGAACGCGGTCCCTTTCTGCTGCGGCTCCCAAAGCATTTATTAACAGCTTTGTTTCCCTCCTTTGTCCTCCAGAAGTAATGACCTTTGGGTGGCAACTTTTTGTGATGTCCCATTTTCATGCCCAAGCAGATGGTTCTGCTGATTTCTTAGAAGGCTTAGTGGGGGGATTTGGGGGAGCTTGGGAGAGAATGAATATGAATAGACACAAAGAGTGATTGTGAATTTTGATAGCTAAAGGTTGGGGATGAGTCTTAGAAGGTTCCAGGGCCTGGCTTAGTGTGGAATCTTATCTGCAACCCATCCGAGCTGCTCGGAATCCAAGAAGAATACCTCTGGACCGGGTGCTGACGGCCTCCCTCCGTCGGATTATGCACACTGCCGGAATGACTTTGTTCTCTCCTCAGTATTCCAGTAGGGAGTGTGCAGATCAGAAAATGCTACCTGGCTTTCTGTGTTCAAGTCTATTCCATTGCATTTGCTTATTATCACCTTCTATGCTATTCCAGGTGATGGGAGCTGGGCACACAGGGTCTTTTTGCTCTCTGCCACGAAAAAGCGGTGGCAGGCTCACAGCCCCCACACCGGGCCAGCCCCGAGAGGTGCAGAGGGAAATGAAGCGGCATTTCACAAGTGCCTTCGGAGTGCCAGTCACTCTGTGTGCAGGTCGCTTAATCATGGCAATGACTAAACAAGGTGGATGTCCTTACTCCCGTTCTGTAGAAGATAAGCCTGTAGTTAAACAGATTAAGTGACCGAGTTGGGATTTGAACCCAGCTCTGCCTGGAGCACAGCCAGGCTCTGTTGGTGACTCGCGGCACCTCACTCCCTGGAGGATGCAGAGGCTCAAGATCTTCCAAGTCTCTGCCCCCGTCTGCGTCTCCCCCCAACCCCCGCCCCGCCTTTCTGTACTTATCCAGATGAAATCAGTGACTATCAGATAACTATCAAAGTCACACGGGGGGGTGGGTATGTGTGGAGAGGTTAGGGAAAGGCTGCACCTGCCACCCAGGTGGGGCGGCAGCGGCTCTCGTTTCCTGGGACAATAGGGTGAGCCAGGCTGATGGCAGGTTCTGGAAGCCATCAGCCTCTGCAGCCCACCCCCCTCTCCCTCTCGGCTCCTACCCCTGCGCCTGTCCTGGTGCTGGCCGGAGTGGTGGAGAGGGCCAGAGCCTGACCTCAGGCCAGTGACAACTCTGGCTTCCTGCTGCCACCCTCTCGGGCACTTTTCGTTTCACTGTGGTCAGAGGTGGACGCAGCCCCCTCAGCAGTGACTCAAATGTCGCCCTGTGAGTGGAGTCCATGGGGGCGTATTCGAGATGCGTATGTTTCCCAGATTGATCCCATTCGGGGTCGCGCTCAGTGCTGTGCTGGGCTGTCTCCCCACTAGAATTTGCTCTGGAACCAGCCAGGATGATGAGCATATTGCTAATA